TAGTTGTACATGATTGTACAGAAATCATCATACATGTACATGTCTCTGGCCCTGTAGATGGCTCAAAAAGGCATATTTTTCAATTGATTTCCCTTGCATATTGAATTTTTAGTTCCTTTCAACTGCAATATGAAAATAAAGTACACATTGACATAGAGCAAGAAAAGAGCTTGATTTTGATATGCATGTCATACTATACAAAATATGGGTTCACATACATTCAAATGGGACTTCGGTTATAAGGACACTTCGTGAATAAGGACACTTTTCTGTTGCCCCGCCGAATGTCGTTATTGGCGAAGTTGACTGTACGTGGTGTGCTCGAGGACTTTATATGTTGCGAGTTTCAGGTGTCTTGACAGGTGAGGTCGCGAATGTCGCGATGAAATACATGAAAATGAATTCGAAATAACTAATTCTGTTATTGTGAAAAAGGAGAAGGACAAAATGTTACGAGTTATGACTAACTGTCCACCAACGAAGGTTGTTGGTTTGCGCCTTGGAGAAGCGTTGGAGCTAGGTGTCAGGTCGCCGAATGTCTCAGTACTCCTTGTCAGTTTTGTGCCATTTTGTCGCACTCGCTGACTGTATAAGATCTGGTTACGTTGGTGGACAGTTAGTCATAACTCGTAACATTTTGTCCTTCTCCTTCTTCACAATAATTCAATTGGCTCACCATCCGAGTTGAACTAATTACTTATTTTGCATTACATGCACATGTACTCTCGTACTTTCTTACTCTCTTACTTTCTTACTCTCTTACTTTGTGGCTGATTCCATGCTGGTGTTAGCCGCATTCTGGTTCCCCATCTTCTTTTCTAACGAATGACTCCATTTTGCAACGAAGTAGCTTCGAAGGGCTTCTTCGTTTCTAGCCTTTGCATTTTGTTCTCAGACGAATTTTTCGTTACGTTTTTTTCAGTGCATGTACCGTGAGTAGTCTCGCACTCTAGATTTGTTTTGCTCGCGCGTGGCTTTCCTTTCCATTCTTTTTGTTATGCATGACCATGGCGAAGAATCGGTATGACATACACGTGTACGTGACCAGGTGACGACCGTACTTCGAGTGTTAGCATCGGTGGATCCTAATGTGTAATGTGTGCCGTAAAGTGAGAAACTTTCACTAGAGATAAAATTTCGCTATTTTCGTGACCATCCCAATTTCGCGAATATAAATCGCCGCAAACTGGTCTGTACATTGATTTTAGACAGTATAAGGTCCAACTGAAGAGATACAATCGCAAAAGTTTCTCATCATGAACCAGCCCAGTTCATGAAAACGCAAAATTTGCACGCCGCGAAATGTTTATCGCTTTACAGTAAATGGCTGCAATGGAGGCTGTGAGTGCTTAGATAAATATTAATGTAACTATAACTGCTTTTATTGTGTTGGGATGCATTGGGATCGCAACACCAATACCCTTGGCTGGCGCTGTGCTGGGGTGTTGTTGCACGGATATCAAGCTTTTGCCAGACAGACAGCCAGACAGACAAACAGACGGACAGACGGAGATAGAGAAAAGGAGAGAGAGAGAGAGGGGGGGGGGGGGGAGGGAGAGAGAAAGAGAGAATGATGCCTACATGGAGAGAAGCTCTTTAATAATACACACAGCTGAATGGCACAGGGCTTGAGATGACTGATCTCCTGACACGGGTATTAATAATAAAGCTGTGTTCACAACTGACGCGTGTACGCGTGAAACCACGCGTTTGTGCGTATTTTGCTGGCTTTTGGGGCGCCATACGTACGGAAATGCGCCGAGATGGAAAATCAAACATGGAATTTTCAGCGTGTACCAGGCGCTTACCAGTGTACAAGCCACTGACTTTCACTGGTGGGGATAACAAATTAGTATTCGAAGGCGTCACACGCCCTAAATACGAGTCGAAATGCTGTTTAAACAATCGTCGAGGAGACAATAGTCGTAAAATGGCAATAAATAAGATAAATTGTGCACTCATAACAACAGCAAAAAATGAAGAAAGTTAAGTTCCATAACGTTTTCTTGTGACTGTCATCAGTGGAACGCCGTCGCATAAAAATGTAATAACTAAAACACACACTTATATACATGTAGCTAATATGGTTTCAGGTAGAAATACAGCAGCCAGCAAGTACAAAAAGCAAAGTTTGCACCTTTGCAATGTAATACACACGCACCATTACATTCATTCACACAGTATCACATTCATCTGCCACTACCTTTCTCACATACACTATATTCACACATTGCAAAGGTGCAAACTTCGCTTTTTGTACTTGCTGGCTGCTGTATTTTTTACCTGAAACCATATTAGCTACATGTATATAAGTGTGTGTTTTAGTTGTTACATTTTTATGTGACGGTGTTCCACTGATGACAGTCACAAGAAAACGTTATGGAACTTAACTTTATTCATTTTCTGCTGTCGTTATGAGTGCACAATTTACCTTATTTATTGCCCTTTTACGAAATGCTGTTCTTTGTGAAAGCCTAAGCGCGCGCGTTTGGGCACGCATGAACCGTAAGCGTATCGCGTCCACGCGCCAGTTGGGAACACGGCTTTTAAAGTTTTATTGCTGTCAACCGATGTATACTTTATGAACTTAGACGACATCTCCTGGCACGTCAACAGATGGCCAGCTAATCAGTTGAGATAAAGGGTGAGAGCCAACCATGGCAGTAAAGAGTAGTTGATTCATTGATTTTCATTTAAAAGGATTGACCAAAGGCTGCGGAGGCCTATCGAGGGGCTCACCTGTAGCAGGAAAGGGGAGGAAGATGTGTACTTACCAACACAGACAATGCTACGTAATGCCGCTGGAATAGACGCTCGGATAGTAGTCTGGCTTATCGAGTTGCCACCTGCGTTCCAGTACGTCAGCGTCCGTTGGTAGTGCACGTTGATGTCGGCCAGTAGGGATTGAGCACACTCGGTGTTGTTATCGGTCGTCGGCAGAGTCAGGCCAACCCGGCTACAGGTACCATTGGCTGTGGCGAAGTCTACCGTGTAGTCAAACAAGCTGCTAGTGCCGGGTCGCGGCGGCGGCATCAGCAGATACTCTCCCTTGATGCATCCATCGCCACTATCGTAGCCCACGGCTAGGGATTGCATGGACAAGAATGCAAGATCAAGATCAACATGATTACAGCGATGTGCAGCGGACATTACGCAAAGAACACAGGGACCATGGTGAGTAAATTTTCCTACCGGTAATCGATTTTCTTGAGACTGTCAGCAGGGAAAAGTCGTCTCACAACAGAAGCTATGCGGGGAGAGAAACTAACTTACTGTATTTTCCGGGGTATAAGCCGCACTTTTTTTCGCTAAAAATCGGACCAAAATCGCCCCTGCGGCTTATACACCGAATATGCTTGCGCGAATGAATGCTTAGCATACATCAGTATGCATGCTGACGTCATGTGACATGTCATTCGACTCAGCTTCGCGCCTGTGTTGCTATCCCGGCACTTTTACTAGTTTTAGTGCGCGGGCTACACCATACGGTACGCATATACGGGGACTCTATTTTTCATAATCTGATTTAACATGGTATTTAGCTCCATAACCATAATAAATTTGTAGAAAGGCCATTTGTCAATGAGTGTGAAAAATCTTGGTTTGTGGGTGCAGCTTATACTCCGAATACCAACTTTTAGTCAATATTTTGCCTCAAAAAGGGGGGTGCGGCTTATACCCCGGTGCGGCTTATACCCCGGAAAATACGGTATACGACTGGAGGATAGATCACATCTGCTGTCGGATTATTTAAAACGCATCGAGCATCCGCAACACAGATACGAGAACAGTTGAATCACCTGGTGGTAATGGCATACCTGGGTCAGAGGAAGGGGAGTACACGTCTGTGTGCTGCCCATTTCACCAGGCAGTGCTCGATCATCCCGGCACACGGACACGTTTCAACCGTCACAAGGACGACTGACGTGAAGTCTTCAGCTGCACCCTCACGCAGACACGAGAATGACGTTTCTACACCCTACGTACAACTGGACGCGAGAGCACTGCCTGCACAATGCATTTTATCAGCCACTGGCCATCGTGAGAATGTACAGTGAAACCGGTCTAAGACGACCGCTCAAGAGACCTTCAAAATGTGGTCTCTGTTACCAGGTGGTCTCCTTATCCGGGGTCATTTGACTGGAAACAGCATCCCTTGGTTCTGGTTTCAGTGGTCTTCTAGAACAGGTGGTCACCTTATCCGAGTGGTCGCCTTGACAAGTTTTACTGTGCATGCAGATTACGAGATACAGAAAAACCTGTCAGGGCGACCACTCTGATAAGGCGACCACCTGTCCCAGAGGATCACTACAACTAGGACCAAGGGAGGCCAATTCCAGTCAAATGACCCTGGATAATGAGACCACCTGTACAGAGCGACCACGCTTGCGAGGTCCCTTGAGCGGTCGGGCCAGACTGGTTCCACTGTAGTCGACATGACTTACGATTCTCGCATGTAGCTCCGGAGTAGAGAGGTTTACAAACACACGTGTAAGACGCCAATGTGTTGTTGCAGACACTGTAGTTCGAGCACTTATGTAGACCGAGAGCACACTCATCTACCTCTGTACACACACACACACACACACACACACACACACACACACACACGCGCGCACGCAAGTACACACACACACACACACACACACACACATGTACACACATGTACACACATGTACACACATGTACACACATGCACACATGCGCACGAACACACATCAAAATTTGGACCAGTCAAGTAACGTTAACCCGTCCGAGAAAGTGGACAGATCCTCGGCCCCAGAAAGCCCAGTAGCGTTTGTGGATACTCACAGTTGGCTTTGTTCCGTCTTTCTCTTTTATTTGTTATATTTTTTCCAAGTTTTTGCTCTGTCGCCAAGTCGGCCACGGTGCTGTAAGTGATCGCGACGTGGGAGGGAATTTGCCGTTCACTTCCTGAGGAACTGCGTCCGGCTTGGTTTCCGGTCGCTCCCCAGCCGGTGATGCCAGCAGCGCCAGCGCCAAGCAGTGCCTCGCCGCCGACGGTCTCGCCTCTCTCGCCGGAGACGCAGGGCCCGCCGCGCGTCGCAGCGTCGCGCTGCACTCGCTGGTCCTTCGCCCCCCCCCCCCCCCCCCCTCCCCTCCCACCGTGGAGTCTGGCGTGGTCTCCCTCGTTGACATTCATTGTCATGATGAATTTGATGACCACTTTGTGGTGGGTCTGATCTACTCACCTCCGACCGCTTAGGAGCTGCATCTGCGCCTTGATCCAAGAGGGTGGTGGTGTTCCTGCGGATACGGAAAACTCGACCAAAGGCCGAGTCTCACGCGGACCGTGTTTTTTTTTTTTAATTTTACCCTTTACCTTCTGTGTGTACATGAATTTGACTCTGCATGATTTCTCCTGTATTTGCATTTTTGTTCGCCGTTTCCTTTGGGTGAGTGGTGTCCTAGGTTGGTGCTGTTTTGGAAAAGATCCCTACAAGGATAGGGCATAAACAGGTGGAGCAGCTCGCCAGCCGGGGTCCTCTGTGAAACTGTTGCTTGAAGGTTCCTTCATCGACGCACAGTTTCGCGGGGCTCCCGGCTGGTGTCAACCCTCCTGGCCTACTCGTCACTTGCCCAACGGTCACGCCTGTGCATGTTTTGTTTTATATTCGCCTGTCTATGCTATTCATATTAAATTTTCATTTCTTTCGTCTTCCTGTCTCCTTCTCCAGTCTGTCTTCTCGTTCTTTTATTTTTCCTCTATCCCATTCTCGGCAGAGGGTGCATTTTTTGGTGCGGGCGTATGTTGTCCGTGGCCTCTACTAGGTCGGTTCCTATTGGGTGCTTATACAGTCAGACCTCGCTTAACCGCACGCATCCGTTTTCAGCAAAAATATCCGGAAAGGCGAGGGAACCGGATAATCAAACACACATAGGGTGCTTTCGATTACACGCATTTCGGTCAATTCTACTTCTTTTTTTGAAGTAGAATTAGTTATTGTTGATGCACAGTTCGATTACACAAAAAGTCACAAATTCCGTCGATAGAATTGATTTTATCCAATTCCGTCGAATCCGTCAATTCTGAAGAGAGGGCGGAATTTCTCTAATTCTGGCGCCAGAATTGCACAGTCGGTGTGTTACCGGTCTGGTCATGATTCAAGCGCGCAAAGAGCCTCCCTGGCCGGCGTGTGCGCGATGCTGGGTCCACGTGCGCGCGAGGGTGTACATGATCTCTTTTTACGATTCATCAATTTTGTTTGTGACATGACATGAATAAAATGCGTTGTGAATTCCAGTCGTTCGTTTACAAGACCGAATCCGCTCATTCTGGTCATTCCAGAATTTAAAAAAACCAGTTCCAGAATTGTGTAAACGTGTAATCGAAAGCGCCCATAGTGTATGTATGCATGGCATATGCTGTAAATCGGTAACCAACAATTTTCTTCCGGATGGCGAGGGATCCGGATAAAGGAGGACCGGATAAGCGAGGTCTGACTGTATTCTGTGTGGCGCTGTGTCCGCGCGGACTGTGTGGGGGCTGCGTGCGGACGGCGCAGGTGGCACCACAGCGTGTATTCAATGTATTGTACGCATTCTAGTTTCTTCTTCGCTAACTTCTCTCCTGAGACTCTCGATGGTGCCAGAACGAATATTTGGGCCTCTGTACGTGGTGTATGCGTGGATGAGTGAGAGTAATCGGAAGAGCCTATCGTCTTTTTTTTAAACAACGGCATGTCGAACACCATTGTGCAGGAGAATTAGTTTCTTTATAGCCGCAGTTTGATACATAACAGAAATGAACTTACAGTCAACTTCGCTGGTAACGACTGCGGATATAACGACAATTCGCGAATAACGACGGAATTTCCATGCCCAGACCAAAGTCCCATCCCACTGTAATACATATAATGAGACTTCGGGTATAACGACACTTCGCGAACAAGGACACCTTTTTGATGCCGCGCCGAGTGTCGTTATAAGCGAAGTTGACTGTACACTGTCGGGTCAAACTGGGACATGGACAACGGCTCGCTACCTCACGAAAGTCGCTATAACTATGCGAGTTCATTATAAGTGGAGTCGACTGTACATCAGATCCTGTGCATCATGCACATCAGATTCCGTACATCCCACACCGCGCGCCCAGCTCGTGTGGGGCACTTTTCAAATTTTCTCAGTAACGGGTTTTCCAGGTGCGTGTGTACGTGTGTGTGTGTGTCTGGTTCTCTGCCTGACTACTACTATAGAGCTGGTGTGACAACGTACAGGGTAATTCTGACTGGTTGACTACATATAGGAGCTCTGACTACATATAGGGGATTGACTGCATACAGGGTCCAACATATTTATTATATTCTTGAATGACAGGCTGAACTTCCGCCAACTTGTACAAATCCACAAGCAACTCTACCTACCCGAGCATATGGCATAGAACTTGTCGGATGCCGTGACACCGCTTTTCGACATCAGCACTGAAGATGGGTTGACAGACAAGGACACAGCACCCGTACTGGTCCAAATGTCCAGAGTTTGCTCTCCCAGTACCTTTCCCAGGTTGCGAAGGAAGTCCAGCAGGCACTGCTGGTCACTGACAGCACTTGGAAGCAGCAGCCGCTGGCTGCACCAATGGATGGCAGAGTCATTGGTCACCTTGACCATGTTCTCGACGTTGAACGGCACCGAAAGGATGTTCTGGCCGCACGTCTGCCGGAAACTTGCTGCGGAGAGAGAGAGAGAGAGAGAGAGAGAGAGAGAGAGAGAGAGAGAGAGAGAGAGAGAGAGAGAGAGAGAGAGACACACACACACACACACGCACGCACAGAGAGGGAGGGAGAGAGAGAGAGAGAGAGAGAGAGAGAGAGAGAGAGAGAGAGAGAGAGAGAGAGAGAGAGAGAGAGAGAGAGAGAGAGAGCACAGAGCACAGAGCAGGTACGAATCACAACAGAGCACGAAAGTTTGAACAAGCATGCGGACACAAATATTCCCGACCTCGGTAGCCATTCCGCGGCATGCGGAGGCTTGACTGCGGCCAATGATTCACACGGCAAATTAGTTGTGAAAGGGGGGTTCACAGAAGCATTTTGCGATGCGATGGGGATGGACAGCCACGAAACCGGTAAATTCCACAAATCGCACCAGTCGTGCAGCTCACACAACGGGCACAACTAGCTGGCCACAGTAGTTGAGCTAGGCTAACTAAAAGTTTCATGATGGCGTATTCAATCTGGACCTTCTTTGCAGCAAAGGCCGTATGCTTGCGCTTTGAGGCACGTTGTGAGTTCCATTTCTTTTCTGCCAGCAGGCAGATGGAATTCTCTTCCAGCTGACTGTAGACGGGCCCAGTCTCTTGCTCTGTTCATGCACATGGTTAAATTTAACCAGTAAAAGGGCAGTAGCGTGTTGGGACTCCTCTAGTAAAATAATAAAAACTATTACTACTACTACTACATCAGCAAGACAAAATCGCATTGCTAGCATCCGTTGTGAATGGTAATTGGCGAGTTGGCATCGCACTTTGGCTTTGCACATCGCGCCACATAGCACCTTGTATTGCAAAAAAATGCATTTGCGGATACCGCTTTAATTAACGAGAGAGCTTGGAAGCTCAGGGCCCTACGCTATGCTTTTTTGCCTTGATGACCTGGACAAAAAAAGCATAGGGATGTTATAAATTCTTATAAGTTTCTACTTTTTGTTTTTAGACATAACCTGGGATTCGAACCCGCACTATCGCCCTGCATGCATCCCCCGATACACTTTGCATACATACTAATTCTTCCAAGTTGCTTCACGTTATGATCTTGTATTTGAAAGCCCTATTTGAATATGCATTGTGGCCAGCCGTCTTTGAATGTACGGTACGGTACGGGATAGGTACGGGACAGGTACGGGACAGGTACGGGACAGGTACGGGACAGGTACGGTCGAGGGTAATACGACACCGTCTACCGCCTTGATGACGGCAAAAAAAGAAAAGGGATGTTATAAATTTTTCAATTCTCCTAGAGTCCTATTTTTCTTCAGGCATTACCTGGGATTCGAACCCGCACTATCTCCCCACATGCATTCCCCCATACACTTCGCATTCATACTCATTCTTCCAAGTTGCTTCACGTTATGATCTTGCGTTTGAAAGCCCTATTTGAATATTGCGGCCAGCTGTATGTGGCCAGCTGTGTTTGATGGTACGGTACGGTACGGGACAGATACGGGATAGCGCCAGGCATGACACAAACACACAAACACACAAACAAACACCAAATTAAAGCTGTGTGGACCCTGGCTAGCGCCAGACGTTACTGAAGTAACGTCTTCTTTCATAGCTACGGGAATTAAAAAATAACTGCATGTAGACCACAGTCACCGCCACTGTCTATGCCACTGCACCTTTTTAAATACAGTTCTCTCCTAAATACTGTGGAACGGCTAACTTTAGCGGGCACAATTTTTATCGTTTTCTCAATCTGGACCAATTCGCGATGAAATATTTTAGCGATCCGAGTTTCGGGCACAAAAAAAGGAAGGATGCCTATACTGCACAGTACATTCAAAAGTTCGATTGGCGCGGCAAAACTTTAGCGAAAACACTCCTTTTCGCTAAAGTTGCTAAAATATCACCGGCGCTAAAATTAGCCGCTTATACAATGTAGTACCCATTACCACATTAGTCTTAGAAAAAGAAGAAAAAATTTCACGGTTCGCGTGAGACTCGGCCAAAGGCCCAGTTTTCCGCATCCGCAGGAACGCCACCACCCTCTTGGATCAAGGCGCAGATGCAGCTCCTACAGTCCATTTCAAAACTATAGACGCGTAGTGTTTTGCAAATTTGATGGGATTTATTTAAATATTTTTAGTTTTTTCTCCAGATTCCGTCTCTGCATCGCTTCACAATTCTGGCTATATACTTTGTTTTCGCTACAATTGAAGTTGATTTTTAGGCCAGGTTTTCCGGTTTTACATGTAATTTCTGTTTTGAAGGGTTTGACCAGTTTGTTGGGAAGGCCATCGTGGCCATGTGTTTTTTTATGAAGTATTTAGTATTTATTCAATATTTCTCTCAGGATGTGAAATATGAAATGTCTCAGAAATTCAGTTTATTTTGGAACGCAATTTCGCGTACATGTAGTGATTTAGCCTACAGTTAGTTCACGAGTCATTTCGTGGGTTGTTTGTTTCTTGCGTTGCACAGTGCAAGACAAGAATTTGCACAACTGCACAAGAGTATTGACGTTGACTCTCAAAATGATTCTTGGTCGCATTTTGTTTTTGTTTCTTCTAAGTTTTGACAAAGGGACATGTATTTTCGTTTTGTCTTTTCTCGCAGTGTTTCCTTTCATTTCTAAGCCGCGACGCCGTCGCGTACTGCGGTACGACGGGTCACGTGCTGCCAACCTACTGCATTCTTTATTCACCAGTTTTCACAGCTACACTGCATGCATTGTATAATGACTCATGATTATTTTTTGCTCTGCGCTGAATCCCGTACTAGTGTAGGGCTTTTTCAGAGTTTGTTTTCGATGAGGCTCGGCAGGTTCGGTTCTTCGAAGAGAAAGGGTTGTCTTTTGTTGTTTGCCAAATCTATTTTACTACCACGAAGTTTTCCCGTTGCGTGTGAGAACCTGCATGACAAATTGGTAGCAGAGGATGGTTGTCAAGCAGTGGTTCCTTCACCAAGCGCAGTGTGGTAGTGAGTAGTAGCATTTCGGGTTTTCGCTGGACAACATGGATCTTGAGGAGTGCAAGAAAGCGAAGGTCAAGGCCAAGTTCCATGTCACACGAAATCGAAACTTGTTGCTCAGCAGGATCTACGAAGAGGATGCGACCTCGAAAGAGATCAGGAGGTTGCTGGATGACGTGACTGAGAGTATTCACAACGCTGTGGATGTGTGTCTAAAACTGATAACGCGGTACGCAGAATTAGGACTACCCACAGAAAAAGTGCACGAGGAGATAGAGGTCATCAACGTCGACTACAGCGATGCTGTCAGCAAGACCAGCGACGTGCTGGCAGAAATAAGCAAGAGGCCAAGTCGAGCCAGAACTGGTGAAAGTTCGCCAGCTTCCATCACCAGAGCCAAGAACATAAGATTAGTAAAGGCAATGTTGACGCAGAGCTTGGAGAATCCCAGAGCAAGTGGGAGGATGTTGACACCGCCACACTCTCCTAGCAAGGCCCTTGAGGAAAAACAGAACATGTGTGCTGAGAAGAGTCTCAGTCGTTTTGGGAATGTGTCTGTATCCAGTGTCAGCCAGAGTGCGACTGTTGAGGGGACTACCCAGCCGCCTGCCATTTCCTCGGGAGCACCTCTGGGAGCAAATGCATCGGCACTCCCCCTGGGAACTCCAAGTGGTGACCATCGTGATAGACAGGACGAACCGCCTGGCGCTGACATGACAAGCGTCAGTGACAGCCAGCCAATTGTGTCGTCGTCAAGTGCAACCATGGCAACCAATGTGAGTACAGACAAGTCACGCACAATCAAGGTGTCCTTTCCGGTCTCTTTGTCGTGTGTACCTACGTTACCGTTTACGGCGGAGCTCTTGTCAAAACTTCACCCGGTTGCCATGGCAACCGCCAAAACCATGGCAACCGCCAAAACCATGGCAACACCGCTGAACATTGGTCATCAGTCTGCAGGGAGTAACCAACCAAGTGGCATTGCTCAGTCTGGCATGCAGCAAGCACCGGTATATACGTCGGCAGCTTCGGCAAGAAACGTAATCACTGCCCCTAACCGTAGTTCAAGTGGGGTCAGTGTACCACCCAGAGCATTGTCGGCCACGACCATACTCGTGCAGTCAGCCCAGACGCAACCAACTCCTGCAGTGCAGCCTCCTCGTGGGACGCAACCAACTCCAGCTGTGCAGCCTCGTGCAGTTGCAAGTCATACTCTCTCGGCTTCTACACCTGCATTTGTGCCGGGATCAGGAAATTTGTACGTTCCACCGCCGACCCATTCTGGACATCCATTCTCATTTGGAACACCACCGGGTTTCTTGTCGGCACCCGACTTCCCGACGCACGTCTTGCCGAATCAGTCTGGAGTAATGTCTACACCACCAGCGACCCAACCGGTCATGCAACAAATACCAGTTGGTCAGCCAGGTCACGCATCACACAGTGAAGATTATGGTCTTGTGCAGCCGAGCAGTCTTTCAGTTGCCATGACTTCGCCGAGTGGTCTACCAGTGCAAGCGAGTAGTTCTGGTAGAATCGAATTGTACCGACATTTAGAGAAAGTGTCAATTCCAACGTTCAAGGGCGACAAGCGGCAATATGAGACGTGGAAGGCGGCGTTTGAGATGTGCATTGGCTGTGCTAACATTCCGGATGGGCTGAAGTTATTGCAGCTCCGGAAATACCTCGCGGGCGATGCACTACGGTCTATCGACACTCTTGGCTACTCGGCCGAGGCGTATGAGGCAGCACGACGTAGGCTGGAACGCAAGTTCGGTGGTCAGCGACGTCTAGTTGCAGTGCATCTAGAAGCCCTTGAGAAGTTCCCAGCGATGAGATCTGCAAACGCCCAGGAGTTGGAGCGTTTTGCGGAGCTACTCGATGTCGCTGTGGTGAATTTGAAGGCGAGTGGTCAGACACAGGAGTTGGCTAACGGGACATTTTATGTCCGGCTAACACAGAAGCTGGGGGTGTCTCTTCTGCTGAGCTACCAGAAGTGGATACACCAGACAAGCACCTCTGAATCTGTCGAAGCGCTTCTGCAATGGGTGGAGCTGGAAAGCGAGTTCCAAGTACGAGCCCAGGAGACGATCCAAGGTATCTCCACGGCAACTCCAGTAGTGTCCACTCAAACAGCAAAGAGTCACCCGCTGAAGGGCCAGGCCAGTCATGGTGGAGTGAAGCATCAGGCATTCTTCGCTGACAAGCCCAAGAAGGCCCAGAGCAGCAGCAGTTGCCCGATCTGCACGAAGATCCATCCCGTTTGGAAATGCCTAGAGTATCGGAAGCTGTCAATTGCAGAGCGTTGGCAGAAGGCCCGGACGCTCAAGCTTTGCTACCGTTGCCTTAACTCTGGTCATTTGGGAAATAACTGTCCCAGGTCGCAGCCCTGTGGTGCAGATGGTTGTACAGAGACCCACAACGCGTTGCTGCACGGAAAGTCTAGTACTACTACAGACTCGAATGGAGCCTCACAGAAGCCAGTGCTCCAGGCTAGCGCCTCCACGGAGGGGGGTGACACCAGTTCCATGGCCACACATATGAGTAGTGTCGGCGTTAGAGCTGTCGCACTGCGAACCGTTCCCGTCATACTTCGCCACGGCGACAAGAATGTCACGGTCAACGCGCTGCTGGACGACGGCAGCACGCAGTCTTACCTTAATTGCGACGTTGCGGCACAGCTAGAGCTTAGCGCTCCCACACAAGAAGTGTCAGTGAGCACGCTGAACGGCCGCATCGAGACCCTAGAGACCATGCCAGTCGACTGCCACATCGAGAGTCTGGATGGCAGATTTATCACACAGTTCTCTGCTCTGACTGCCAAGAATGTCACCGGTGACCTTACACCTCATGATTGGTCGGTAGATCAGACACGGTATCCGCACCTCAACGGCATCGAGTTTCCGCAATGCCAGAAGAAGCGAGTAGAGGCGCTGATCGGCCTTGACCACGCTAGTCTCCACAGGTGCATGGAGGAAGTCTATGGTGAGGCTCATGAGCCATTCGCACGCAGAACGCCACTCGGGTGGACATGCGTTGGCAGGAGCACCAGACCGCAACAGACGACAAATTTCACCCGCACGTACTTCGGAAAGGACGTCGACCTGAATGCACTGGTGAGAAGGATGTGGGAGGTGGAGGAACTTCCCCAGTCGTACGAATTCTGTGCAGATGATCAAGCCGTTTTCGATCAGACGGTCCAGTCAATGAACTACAAGAACGGAAGATACCAGGTTTCGGAGCCGTGGATCAAGAGACCACCTCCGGACAACTACAGTCGAGAAACTGCAATGAAGCGGCTCATCGCAGCAGAGAGACGCCTGGCGAAGGAGCCAGACGTCGCTGAGGAATACCGAACCGTGATTCGCCGTCACTTAGAACAAGGGTATATCAGCAATATCAGCAACGCAAGTGATGGCGACGGCTGGTATCTGCCGCACTTTGCTGTTGTACGACCTGGGGCTACATCCACAAAGGTGCGTGTGGTCTTTGATGCAGCAGCAAAGACGAAAGGCAAGTGTCTGAATGACTACATCAGCACTGGGCCCAAACTACAACGGGACCTCACCGACGTTCTTCTGCGGTTTCGGCGACACCCAAACGCACTGGTAGCCGACGTGGCAGAGATGTATCTACAAATCGAGTTGGAAGAGGATGACCGACAGTTCCATCGATATCTTTGGCGAGAAGATACGGAGGACCAACCGGCCGTTTACCAGTACAATAGAGTGGTGTTCGGGATCAATGCATCTCCATTCTTAGGTCAACTGGTCTCGCAAGAGCATGCGCGGCGGAACCAGGAGGAGTTTCCTATGGCAGCAGAAACCGTGTTGAAGTCCACGTACATGGACGATTCAATGGACTCGACAAAGTCAACAGAGCTAGCGATTCAGCTGTACCACGAGCTTACAGCGCTGTGGGGTCTCGCTGGAATGCATGTGCGAAAATGGATTTCCAACAATGTTCAGGTGCTCGCCGAAGTCCCCGAGGAGGACCGAGCCAAGGAAGTGGACATCGCTAATGGAATCCTGCCGACGACCAAGACTCTCGGAGTTAAGTGGCGAGCAGAGGAAGACGAGTTCCTGATTCATGTCAAGCCGCCATCACACATTGCCACCAAGAGAGCGTTCTTGAAGAACCTAGCCACATTGTTTGATCCGATCGGATTCGTACTGCCATTCACCATAGTTGGTCGGATGTTGTTCCAGAAGATGTGGCTAGCAGGTGCTGACTGGGACGACTCTCTGCCGCCAGAGCTAGGAGCGGAGGCGCAAAAGTGGTGTGCCGACATGGATGCACTCCAGGATGTCCGAGTTCACCGGTGTCTTCAACGCGATGAAGAGGTGGTGGAGACTAAGCTACATGTATTCTGCGATGCCTCGCAAGATGCATATGGAGCAGTCGCTTATCTCTGTCATGTGTACCAGGATGGTACGAGGTCCAGTCGATTCGTCATGGCTCGAGCCAAAGTGGCACCGTTATCAGCTGTTAGCATCCCCCGACTCGAGCTAATGGGAGCAGTCATCGGATGTCGTCTTGGTGTGCCCGTAGCCAAGACACTCGCCATCGCAATGGAGAATGTCGTGTTCTGGAGTGACAGCATGGATGTCCAAGTAGTGGAAAGAGTACCCGGATCTCAGTGTCGGTGACATCGTCCTCGTTGTGTCAGCTGATACCCCCCGTGGCAAGTGGCCTCTTGGACGGGTGTTGGAGGTCTACCCTGGTTCTGACGGCAGAGTGCGTGTCGCTAAGCTCCAGGTCGGAGGCAAGCAGGTAACCAGGTCAGTTGTACGGCTATGTCCGGTTGTGAAAGGCTGACAGTCCGTACGCACGTTTTAGATGGACTTATCGCCATCTTTAGTCAGTTCGATCTCTTTTCTCATTTTACTCATTCTTTGATACGGATGTATCAAGGAGGGGGGTATGTTGGGAAGGCCATCGTGGCCATGTGTTTTTTTATGAAGTATTTAGTATTTATTCAATATTTCTCTCAGGATGTGAAATATGAAATGTCTCAGAAATTCAGTTTATTTTGGAACGCAATTTCGCGTACATGTAGTGATTTAGCCTACAGTTAGTTCACGAGTCATTTCGTGGGTTGTTTGTTTCTTGCGTTGCACAGTGCAAGACAAGAATTTGCACAACTGCACAAGAGTATTGACGTTGACTCTCAAAATGATTCTTGGTCGCATTTTGTTTTTGTTTCTTCTAAGTTTTGACAAAGGGACATGTATTTTCGTTTTGTCTTTTCTCGCAGTGTTTCCTTTCATTTCTAAGCCGCGACGCCGTCGCGTACTGCGGTACGACGGGTCACGTGCTGCCAACCTACTGCATTCTACAGCTACACTGCATGCATTGTATAATGACTCATGATTATTTTTTGCTCTGCGCTGAATCCCGTACTAGTGTAGGGCTTTTTCAGAGTTTGTTTTCGATGAGGCTCGGCAGGTTCGGTTCTTCGAAGAGAAAGGGTTGTCTTTTGTTGTTTGCCAAATCTATTTTACTACCACGAAGTTTTCCCGTTGCGTGTGAGAACCTGCATGACACAGTTTGTTTCGGATTTTTGTTCCTGCTGAGACAGTGCTGCGTCCAGACCATCGCGGGTGCATTTTTGTACGGGTCCTGGTAGCCTCGTGGTTTCGATCCGTGATTTCCAGTACAAGTGTGGGGCATTCGAATCCCATCACGCCTCCTGCCTTTTTTCTCTTCTTTTCTGCATGTTTTGGATCTTGTTGGGTGAAATACAGTAGAGATGATAATTATATTTTCTCTTTTTGATTTGATTTGAGCCTCGCTGTTCCCTTCGCCTGACACAACGAGTGACAGTGGTTTCACTCACGTCAGTTGCAAGGTGAGTTCGACGACGAGGATTTCGGATACTCAAGCGTCAATCAAATCCAGCTCTTGTTCGAAGAAACAATGAACACGACTAATCATATCTTTCTCGGCATCACTGAGATTCTTACGGGCCTTGGAAGCCATTACTGTCAGGCACTCAGAAAATGCAAACAAGAAGAAGATTCATTTGAGACTTTCATTTCTTTTGAGATTTTCCTCACACCTTTTCATTTGCGACTTTGCGTGTTTTGCATCTTTTGTATTTCCCGCGGCGACGAAGAAAAACACATCTGAAAACCAGAAAACACTCATGCAAAACTCACGGCTGTCGTGCGCTACAGTACGTATGGCTCATACGTATGAGTTCACGCGTCTATAGTTTTGAAATGGACTGTAAACGGTGGGAGGTGAGTAGATCAGACCCACCACAAAGTGGTCAAAGACCGAAATCCCATTCACTGCATCCATGTTTCCCTCGTGCCAGGCCATGAGTTCCCAATTAACTGTGGGTCGCAGCACGGCTGGAAAAAATCCTCCCGCTTCCAAGCAGGACTTGAACCTGGTACCCTCTGTTTCTCAATCATGGTCTTAGACCATCCCACTATGCCTGCCTGACTCCTTAGTAAAAAAAGAAAAAATCTTAGAAATGCATCACAAATTTACTGCTCCTTTCCTTCCACATGTAAAGTCTCCAGGACAACAGAACACACACCTTCAACCATGTTGAAAGCTTGGCATAACTGGCACCTCTCTCCTCACATCGCACGCGCACGCATGCACGGGCACCCACAGACGTACGATCACTCGCATGCGCACGCAGCCACTCACTCGTCTGCACGCTCACGCGCACGCACGCACACACACACACACACACACACACACACATGCACGCACACACACGCACACATACACACATGCACGCGCGCACACACACACACACACACGCACACGCGCGCGCCAGCCGTCGTTCACAAAAGCAGATTTCTCTTGCAGCGGCAATCACAGCAACTTACCGATGCACACGAGCTGATGCTGTGGAGGAATGGAGCCCGGCATACCAGCCATGCCAGCCCCAGCAGCGCCAGTCACACCGCTTGAGTTCACAACTTGAGACGTGTTCACCCAAAACGCGAAATCCGCACTGTAGTGGAGGCGAATCTGTGCCAGGAGCGACTGCATGCAAGCTTGATCCAACACCGAGGGCAGTGCCATGCCGCTGTTCGTGCACGGCCCTCGGGCTGTACGGAACCCAACGCTATGGTTAAGAGCACTGCTGGGCCCAGGGGGGATGATCAGATATCGGTCCTGTTCACAGCCTGCGCCGGACGAGTATCCAGTGACTGCAAAGACAACAAGGACGGCAGCACACAGAGTAGACATTGTGAACATTCCAGCAGGGCTAGCTAGCATAAGTGACAATGACACATTGTGCGTACACAATACAAACCCCGAGAGAAGTGCCGTTAAAATAGTCCTGCTCCGATTGAGATCACTTCCGTCCCCCAGGTTATCACAATACATGAAAGAACCTCTCAGGTCAGGGTGTTAACTGCCACCAGTGGGTACAGAGGCCACGCGATTGCGTCATCAGTTCAGATGCGCTGGCGAAGTCGCGACACAGCGCTGCACTGCACTTGCACTAGCGGCTCATGTTGTATACTTAGAGCCCGTAAGAAGATCTGCTGACTCATGCTGTATGCTTAGAGCGCGTAAGAAGATCTCCTGACTCATGTTGTATACTTAGAGCGCGTAAGAAGATCTGATGGCTCATGTTGTATGCTTTTAAAGAGCCCGTAAGAAGATGTACTGATTCATGTTGTATGCTTAGACTTAGAGCCCGTTAGAAGATACGCTGGCTCACCCCATGACATCATTCGCATAACCTCTAATCTTGTTTTCAGTGCTATCTGGTTCGGCCTCATTTTCTCTGTGCGGCGCTGATGAGCTCACAAAGGAGGAAACACTGAGCTCTGTCCGCAGATTGAGTAACCTCTAACTACGGTCTGTAAAACTCTGACATGCGTGCCGCAGTACCAGTGCAGCCGGTCTCCGCAACTCTTCTGCGCCACCATTGCCCCTTGCCTACCGCCGTCACACCTTTTTACACTCTACTTCAGGGGCAACAAGTAGGCGCGACTTACAATCGTGCATGCCTTACAACTGAAGTGAATTATAATTGAAATAATAATCATGGCTCGAAACCTAAAACGGGGGGGGGGGGGGGGGCTTATAATCGAATGCGACTAATTCTTGGAACTACAGTATCTGCATGACATCACTCATTCCCTATGTCTTGGCATGGTGGATAATGATGGAAACTCGCCGATGTTCTGTAAGACATTCACAAAATCGACAGAACCATTGCTACAGGGCAGAAAAAACCCTGCAAAGTCTGCTTGCCTTTGTCATCCGTTGCGAACGCACTACGCAAGAACCGTCCCAAAATCTGCTTGCCTTACTCGAGGACTTCCGCGGTCAGTGGCGGGTGGTGTATTGTGCATTTTTGTATTTTGTATTATGATGTGTGTGTGTGTGCGTGCGTGCGTGCGTGTGTGCGTGCGTGTGTGTGTGTGGATGTGCATGCCCACTGCGTGGGGGGTTAAGGTATGCGAAAGCTGCCCCAGT